GGCACTAATACCAGACAGCTTAAAATGTGCACATACAGGTTTTAGGTCAGCTTTCACACCACCTATATGTTTTTGATTTATATATGTTTTAATAGCTGCTGTATTTCCTGTCTTTGTGTTCGTGCTTTCTTTTACGGGCTCTCCCATGCAAACTGTTTATTTTTCGAAGCCCCATCTATTAATGTTTTGTATACTGAGACTGGTACAGCTGTGTGTAATGTAAAAACACCTTAGCTGCTGGGATCAACATAATCACTAGCTGTGCTTAGCAGGTTTTTGATATGCTTCGTGTTATGCAGGTTCTTGCAAATTAGTTAAACATTATGAATGGCTAACTGGGCTCAAGGTAGCAGAAAATTAAAACTATTTCTGTGAGGTGACATGTTGTAAGTAATGAGTCTCAATTTAAAAGCCGCCACTTTGTGCTCAGTAACTCAGATTGCAAATCAGATGGCACAGAAAATGTTTAAGTATACACACCCTGAATGATAAATACCAGTGCCTGATATATTTGATGGGTGCTTAAAGTGACGTGTCATCTTCATTCCTTCAGTGACAGACCTTTTTTTGGGGGGTGGGGTTGGCGTGGGTCATTCCAACACTATCGACTTAACAATCAATGGATACATGTAAGAAATGACTTTCCACACACAGTAGGTGTGTGTGGAAATATGAGGCCATAATAATGGTTTTATGGCAGACCATAAAAGTTGATAAAGTTTAGGGAATTCATGTTTCTTCTCACGCTTACCTTTTAAGACTTTCAGGAAGGAGAATGAAAATCTCTTTCCTGAAGATTTTTTTTTCTTTGCATGTATGTATCGCAGTTTTCTGTAGTTTTCTGTTATTTACCTTTTGTCTTATGTTATGTCTTAGGTCTTATGTTTCACTAGGTTTTAAGACTGGGTTTTTATTGTATCAAAATATTTACTTTAGTTTCTTTTTTTTCCTTTAATGTGATTAAGTAATATACTTGGCAAGAATTGTTCAGCGGCAAGGTTCAAGAAATTTGGAATAGATTTGTGAGGCAGTTGAGTCACGTAGACACCCAAGTTCCAATAAACTATTACACGAATTCACAGGAAACTTGTATCATTACCTTGAAAGGGAGACAGAAGCAAAGGCTGTTGTTGAACTTGGGGCGCTGCAGTAAGGCCTACTGATCCTTAATGCAAGGTGCCGCCAGGGCACAACAAAGGGCTTCTCTCTTTTTTAGTTTTTGGTTTAATATAAATGCTAAAAAAAACTCCCAGGTACTTTGTTTTAAGTGACAATTAAAACACTCTATTTCTTATACCACTATTATGTTTAATTGAGAGAATAGAGTTGGGGTTTTTTGTTTTTTAGATTGAATATATGTTTTGTATGAGAATGAAGCCTTTTTAATTCTTCAGATTTTGACAAACAAAACCATTTTGAATCCAGGAAGCCAATCTGTGCAAATATTTTTTTAAGCTCAGAAATTTAAGACAGTACATCATTGAGAATGAAAAACAGAACTACTGAAATGCAGGAAACGAGCAGTTTCTGGGTTTGTTCTTATGAAGAGAATTCCTGGCCCAGCTACTTCCTCCAACCTTCTTTTTGTCACCTTGTCCTTCTCTCATTTAGTTGGACCATGATAGTTTGGCAACTAATCACAGACTGCAGAATTGAACCACTTTGATCTCTTTTATTCAGTAGATTTCACACCATGGTGCGCGTTGGGGAGAATTTGCTGATTTATTTATAATGCCCTGCGAATATTTTATTTTCATTGAGGTCATGGACTCTGTTTTAATAGAAAAGACACTGTTTTGCACATCAGAGGTTCAACTTAACAAGTCTTTTGTTCTCATAGTTCTTTCCTCTTTTTTTTGCTGCTGTTATCACTTGGACCATGTCAGTGAACTGTGTGGTCATAGTCATATTGTGGAACCTCTGATCTTTCTGTTCAGGTTTCATATCTATGTGAACACAGGTGCTGGCATACTGAAATGTGATACAAGTCACATGGCAAGGATAGAGTCACGATCCAGAATCTGATTCTCCCGGCAGGTGTAGTTGAACTGACTCAAATCACATGATTAGTTGTGAATATAGTCCCTGGGAAAAAAAATCTTGCCACCTTAACTCAGTTTCTGCAAACTCGTATTTTACTTCGAAAGTTCTGATCATAAGTGATTCATTTCAAATTTGTTTCTGTTCCTTCTGCACCTTAAGCTCAAAAACCAGAAATCCTCATAGTCAAACATTAACCAAGTCTTTTCATTAGCAGTGTTTGACTTTCAGAGGGTGAAACAGTTAATTTAGCTTATCTTCTGTGCTTTCTTTAGCACATCAACTGACCGTGTTTATTCTAGTGAGACAATAAAGTACAATTGGAAAATGCCAGAAGACTAGCAGAGCCATAGCCATACGTCTGGAGGTTTATTAGATGCCAAAACAGTATGATGGTTTGGCATCTAATAAGCAAATGTGAAACAAATGATTCCAGTCATTTCATCCTCTGTCGCAGCTGATGCGAGGGAGACAATAAGAATATGCCTGTTCCCAAATGACATGCATTCCGGTTCTTTACTGGACCACACGGTCCCTCCCAATTGAAATGTGTGAGCTCATGGCTTTTTACCGTCTTATTGTTTAGCCGTGTGTCTCTGTGTACACCTTTCTGGGTGTGTGTCTTTTTCTTTGAACACCTTCCTTCCTCGTTCTTATTCAGGTTTATTTTTCTCTCCTCAAACACTTAAAATTTATCATGTTCAACAATGCCCCTTAATGTTTAGAAGGACGTTGTAAAATGTATATGGGTTTAAGACAATCAGATAGAAGCATACAAATCAGTTCTATTGCTGACCAAACACTGCAGAGATCTTTTAAAGTAAATTTTCATAGCAGGCAAGGCTTTGGTTTAGTTGGTTGTCTAATCTCTTGATTAGAGATTGTCCTTATCTGTCTGTTCCTCTGTCTGACATTGCTCAAGTGTTTTGAACCTGCCTGTTAATGTCAAGCTTTTGGTTCTGCTATTAAAGCTTTCAGCCTGGTGAATTAATAATCATCTAACAATATTCAGAAACGGTAGTTAGGGCTTGCATAATGACTTTGTTTTCCGGGAACAAAGCTGTGTAGCTTGCGGGCTCTGACCCAGTACAAGAGTTTTAGCTGCAACAGTGGGATTTTCTCTGGCTTTTAAAGAGGCTTAGCAATGCCAGTTCAGTTGGCCTCAGAAAAACTGGAGGCTGAAGAATCTCTTTATTAGTAATAACTGTGAGCAAACACAAGGGTACTGAAAGGTCAGTTTGATGAACTTAAGTAAAATATCCTATGTAGTCATTGGGAAAGCTTTGATATTAAATATCACTCTCTTAGTTTTTGCGGACAACAGTTCAGTAAGATGGGAACACTGGTACTCAAACAAAATGGCAGATAGGAGAGGAAGTAAAACTTTAGTCCCCAAACAGACCATATGGTACAAGAGACAATAATTATGTGTGCTGCCTTAAAAACCAAACTTGAAAACAGTTGTTTCTATGTTTATTGCAGTTCTTTTCTTCATCACAAGGAAACATGGCTGTGCCTGACAATTATAATATGCAAACTCTGTTTCAGCTGAGTCCCACAAAACCCAGAAATACGATTCCAAGTAATCTGATGGTCGATTTAGGTTTTATATTAACCAAAAATGGCAAAGAGCTCATTTTATCGTTAGTGCTTAAGTCAGTGCACTGGAGTTTTTTCATGGTTTTCCTGATTTGAGATTGTAGCTTTCATAACATGGCACAGGGCTTTATTTCCATATGGTTGTTGCCAAGGCTCTTAAAAAGGTTTGTAACTGGCTCTGTTTGATGGTCTTACTTACATGATCCAGATGACTGTTTAGGAGATTTAGGTACTTTTGTAATTTTGAAATCTTACTGTTTTTGCAAAGAGAGGCAAATCTTTTATCTGTCAGTATTTTCCTGTCGTGCCAATTTCTGTTCCTGTTTATCTCTACTACTGCGCTTCTCTTATTGTAGAACTGTTGAATCCAAGTAGGCCAGGTGGGTTGTGTAACACACAGCCAAAACTGTGAATAAGATAGGGAAGAAAGGAGTGAAATGGAAAAGTGCATTTATACACTGTTTTATTGAGTCTGGAGCCTAAATGGGTCTACCTGCCTTTCCTTTGCTTCATCAACATAAAATACAGTTTGTGGTACATATTTCCAAACTGACCAGTTAAGCAAAAGTAAACTTTTCCTCCTGATATACTTTCAGACACGTACACTCATCAGCTAGATCTCATTTTGCACTTATTCTAACATGCAACCATGTCCTGTCTGGGCAAATAATAGTTCACATTCATACAATGGCAGTATTGAGACACACATGCACACTCTAAGGGGGCAGGAAGTCAATAGGAACACACCTAATATAGACACATTAAATGGGACTCTTTGTGCATACGGGCAGGCACAGGTCTGTAAGACACTATGGCACAGCTTTCCAGAACAATCTTTATTGGTTTAATTATTGTATTCAGCTCTCCAGCTGACTTTTAGACAGCCTGATATCTCAAACCTTGAAGATTTCATTAGCGAGCAAGGAGAGCAGAAAAACAGAATGGGGAGTGAAGAAACGGGAAAGAAAGGATTTTAATGAACAAAGATGAAAAGAAAATGGGCTTGGAGCATAGAAAAACTAGAAGAAGAGAAGGGAAAACTGAAACTCGCTGTTGTGGGTTTTTATTGCTGCGATTCCAGCTTTGGTATTGGGCCCAATGCATCTTTCATCACTAAATAACCATGAACATGCAATGTATGGATATAAAGCCTGAGAATAGAAACTGGAAGTGGAAAACTATAGCCCACATGAAACCCATTGTTACTACATGAAGTAGCTAATTGTGTTTTTCAACACACCTGCGATTGGTTAATTAAAACGTTCCATCTTTTTTGTCTCCATCCTTATCCTGTCTTCTTCTGCCATTATCTCCTGTTCTTTTCCCCTCCATCTTTTTTCTTTTCCTGGTTCTCTTCTCAGTGTAGCTAGAAGGGAATCCTGTTCGAGGGATTAGCGGTCTGTCAATGAGGAACTACCGGCTCATCTTCTGCCACAACCTGAAGCAGCCATAGATGGTTCAGTGGTTTACTGGCCAGGGGAGGAGAGGATAGAACACACTTTCACTGCTACACGGTGAGTGCACACAAACACACAACACTTACCGAGCCACATCCGTAATTGAAGGGGAAAATAGACTCGGTGCATTTCTAAGCCATGATCACAGATCAGATGCACATCGGGGTTTTTTTAAGCAGTTTGGAACTCCTGTAATACAGTCAACAGTGTGGTAAACTTGCCAAAGCGAGTTTATCATAATGTCTCATTGTCACACTTCCTTATAAACTATTTCTTAGATTTCATTTTATTATCTTTATGATTCTTGGTGCTATAAAGAGCCCAGATGTGAGGATACAAAGAGCACATCATCCTACAGCCAAGAATTAATTAGCTACAACCGATGAACTCTGCCAAGGGCTGTAAAATAAGCAGTCATTGGTACATGTTATGATGGTATCCACTTAGTAATGCGAACAATCTGTTAAAGTAGGTTTAAACATAGTAGCTGTTGATATTGTAAAACAAACTGGATATCAAGAGAGTAAAAGAGAAGCACACTGAATATATGTAGCTTTATCTACTCATTACAAAGAATGCATTGAACGTATTTTAAATTATTAGTGCTGATATTTTTCTATTTTCACCTGAAAATCAAAATGTTTTAACATTGATGTTTGAAACTATTAAAATATGTACTCATATTGTATGTAATTTATATTTATATTGCATTGTATGTCATTATTGTAAACAAGGCCAGATTACTTGCTTACATTTAAAAGACCGCTATCATTAGTTACATAATACTGTAAGATTAGTTTCACTGGAACAAATTGAGATTACATTTCTGATAAACTGATGTTCCTCCCCCAGTGATGAGTGGACTGGACACCATCTGTCGATGTTTGCATTTAGATTACTCACCAAACAACCAACGTCAATATCAGACTTTTCATTTGCTTATTTTGCATTGATTTTCATCCCATCCTGAATGTCATCACCTCTAAAGAAGCTACAGAGGACCACAGAACACATAATATAAGACTGCAGGAAGCAAACAAAGCAATTTGTCATGCAACATTTGTTATAGGATAAAAACACTGGTACAGTATTACAAACTGAAAACCAGACAATTAGTCAGTAGTTATTTTGAATATTGACTACACATTTTAGTCAAAGAAAATTGGAATCTGAATGTTTGCAGGGTAAAGCTTCTCAAAAATGATCTTTATTTATTGGTAAATTGATTATGCAGTCTTTGGAAGACTGTAAACAAAACTGACATAAGATGTCCTACTCCCCCACCTACCCTCTTTTTACAAAATCCCTTTGCAGGTCACTACCCTGTAGCTGTGGCCCTGCCCCCTCCCACTCACTGGCACTTAACAGTTAGTAAAGCCAGACAGTCCTGTGTGTCCTGCATGACTGTTTACTGGCGCCTTTAAATAATTATTCTTGGTATCTATAAGCCCGCATGATCAAGGACAAAGATTTTTTTTTTTAAGTCAGGCTGCATTCTGTCTTTCTCTCACATTATGTCTGATCTCACCCATTTCTTCCTTTATAAGACGTGAGGTCTTGGCGGGGTTGTGGTGAGGAGGAGGAGGAGCAGGCCATGAGGAAGAGCGTGTCTCCGTTGCCAGGCAACGAGGGCGGGAGCTCAGCCAGCACCACACGGGTTTTTGGTGTTCCTCTGGAGGATGTGACACACACACACACAATCAGCGGCCATGAGGTTCCTGCACTAGTAAAAGATATTGTCGACTACATTGAGGAGCACGGTGAGTGACTGAGACGCAGTTCAGTTTAATTCAGTCCTACATATTTATTTAATATGCACATTGAAATGCATATCCTAGTCAAAAACGGGTCCAAGATTCCTCACAGTGTTACTGGAGGGTAAAGTAATGCCATCCAGACTTAAGTATCTGGTTAGATACCATATTTCTAAGATTTGAAGGGACAAGTACAATAATATCACTTTCTATCTGAATTTAGGAGCCGGAAATTGGAGGTCATCCAGGTCTTTATGTCTTTAATAAAACTTGCAGTTTTGTGCGGTTTAACTGATTAGTGTGTCATCTGGCTTCAGGGAAAGATAGAGCTTGGTATCATCTGCATAGCAGGGAAAGTGTATACTATACATGTATAACGTAAACAGAACTGGTCCTAGCAAAGAAACCTGTGGAACTCCATAATTAACCTTAGTGTGTGAAGAATAGGGATGGGTATCGTTTAGGTTTTATCCGATACAGTACCAAACCGATACTTTTGAAACGGTGCCGGTGCTTAAACGGTGCTCGATCCAGTGCTTAAAGAATGGAGAACACAAACTTTGTCCAAAAACCTCTTATGTTTTGCTGTTTTTTTGTAAAAAGATAACAATGTTAGCCTTTTCTGCAGCTATAGGGCATATATGGTATCACTCTTGGCTGGAAGCAGTGCTTAAACAATGGAAAAAACACCAATTTTGTCCAAAAACCTCTCATGTTTAGTTGTTTCCCACTTTTTCTTTTCTTTGGTTATTTTAGTATCTGCCATCAAACAAGAAGACAGCCGCATGTAACTACGACGGTGTTTGCTAGTTCACCTTACGTGCATTAATTTATTAACGTGGTTAGCCTACTCAACGTAAATTACCATCATCATCGGTCATCATTTCTGCTACACTGGCAGGGCTAGGGGCCAGGACTCTCCTCTTCGGGTTTTTGGGGGATGTTGCTAACTCTGGTCCCATAACAGGCAACCCACCCGCAGTAGATGTGCACGGTGTGAGGTCTTGCAGCACGCTATCAAATACGGTGCATTTCTCGGCTTTTAACAAAATGCTATGCGTCGCCAGGTGTTTCATCAGATTCGAGGTGCTACCTCCTTTGCACAGTATCACCTTAAAGCACTTGCTGAGTTTGCATCTTTTGCTGTGAAGTACAGCCAGACTTTGACCGCTTCGCCTTGGGCATTTTTAATCTGTAGCTCTGCTCTAAAAGAATGTATGTACCTGGGCCCGCCTACTACGCTTGCAAAGGTAAAGTGATTGGCTAGAATCCAAAGTGTATGACATCTTAGGGGAAAAAAAGCACCGAAATGTGCGCTGCTTTTCGGTCTGGTTACTACTGTTTATGTCAGAACCGATACCAGTACCCATCCCTAGTGAAGAAGACTCTCCATTAACATTAACAAATTGAAGTTTTTTAGAGAGACTCAAATCACTGCAGTACCTTTAACATGCTCTAATTGCTAATAATTAATAATCGAATGCTGCACTGAGGTCTAGCAGGACATGCACAGAGATGAGTCCACTGTCATCGACCATTAGAAGATCATTTGTAACCTTCACTAATTCTGTTTCTGTACCTCTACAAATAAACAATTCTTCTTCCGATATTCTGTTAGCTGTTTTAAAACTACTCTTTCTAGAATTTTTGAGATAACAATAAGGTTGGTGATTATTAGCCTTTAATATAGCCTATAATTAGCTAAGACGGCTAGGTTAAGTGACAGCTTTTTAAGTAATGGTTTAATCACTGCCACCTTAAAGGCCTCTGGTACATAGCCCAGTAATAGGGAAAGGATTTGGAGGAAGTAATTATTGAAATTAAATCAGAGGGAAAGAGTCTAAATAATTATTAATAGTACTGAAAGTAGCTTAATTCTTAAATGAACACTTAAAATAGCCAGAGGAACGTAGCCTAGTTACAGACATTCAGTGTGTACAAAAGAAGCAGAGAAGTTCTTGTAGGGATAAAGCTCCTCTCTAAATCTTCTGTGATTAAATTATAAGAGGTGCCTTAAATTTTGCATGTGGCTGAAGCAGATCTTTCACCTCATTTCTTTTTGGTAAGGATCTGCTGCATCTCCCTTGGTTAAAGTTATGAGTCATATTTACATGGAACGTTTAATTTGTAGCAGGATACAGGCATTACATAATCTTACATAATTACCACTAATGTTAGTTTACTTAATGTAGAAAGAACTCCGCGGCTGATGTCAAAATCCTTTTATTCCGTTTTAGCTGTAGTTTGACTCGAGGGGTTGCACCTGTAGGTCATTCCGCTTATTTAACTAAACACGTCGAGCCAAAGATTTAAACAATTTCTCAGTACAAAATGTTGGATGTTCAGCTAAATCAGATTCTGTGATGTTTCAGTCCTGCTTTTGTTGAGCTACAGTATCTTACATCATGATAAAACCAAAATATGTTGTTTGTGGGATCCAGTTTTTGATAAGATAAATTCTGAAGGCCCTGGCAGACAGCTCCACGGCTGGCTTCCTTCTGTTACATAACACTTCTGTCAACTTCAGCCTCACTTGTGAAAACAGAAGAGAGTGAGGAGAGTAACCTACCAAGCGCTCGCCCTGGATTTTCCTACAACTCCCTAGAACATTTCTGTATGAGCATCACAGAACAGCAACTTCAGTCTTCTGTCATGTTCTTACAAAAAGGAAGTTGGCAGTTAAGACAGCTCAGTCTGAAAGATGAGAAGTAAAATGCCTGACTGTTTCACTAGCCAGATCCAAGTTTTGTTTTTTGTTTTTTTTAACTAACCAAATCTGAATTGGGCTTGTATATTGGTGCTGATTAGATTACACTATCAGTACTTGTTTTATAGCTCTTTAAAACCTCAGCCAGACAGTCTTATGTATGCTAAAGATATGTTGTTGGTTTGACCCTTGTTATATCAATTAGACACTTGTATGTCGTTACCCTTACTGTGTGCAAAATTACTTCACATGAGATAAAAAAATTGCAGAGCATGTAAAGATCAGTTGATGTACTTTGTATCATTAGAGATTGAAAAGCAATTCCACAGCTGTAAATATATCCCACATAAAATGAAGGAATTGCCTGAGAAGACAATAAATGGTTTAAAGTAATAAAAAAAAGATTATCAGGAAGCATCCTGATCCTTTAAGTAGGATTCATCTTTGATAGAGATCTTACAAAGCAGGTCAATGGGACGCTGGACACGCTGGATACATTTTCACGTTAAAGTAAATAAGTGTTCAGTAAATACGCTTTTTCTGGATCCCCAAAAGCACTGGAGTTGTCACTGAACTTTCTTTAAACACTGCTGAAATGAAGTACCACTTCAAATTGCTTCCAGTGAAGCAGGTTGGTGATTTGTGTAATTTGGGGGCTCTTTGACTACATGAGGTTATGCAATAAGTCTCCAGGGTCTCTGCTGGTGCAATAATTAGAGCGGTGCTGCCTGTCAGGAAGTTACTAAGACAGTGAAAAGGCCTCCGTCTCTCTGGGATGCCTGGTAGTAGTTGAAGCAGGAAAATGACGTGAAATGTCAATTTGATAGAAGACAGTTGCCAAAAGCTGAAAACATTAGAGGCATGTCTGAGCAAATGCCCAGTGTTTTAATGGATCAGCAAAGACAGAGAGACCGTTTTATTTTATTTTAGTGTAACTCTGCTGTCACTCTGTGTACCTCTGGTGTTCTTCATGTAGACGTCTTTGTGGAGATATAAAAGGGAGCAGGTCCCACGGGATTCCTGTCATCATTTGGACTTAGTTGATTATCTTGCTTGTTAACAGATAAGAAACTGGAGAGTGAGGCTATAATCAAATGTAATCCACACATCAAACCATTACCACTTAAATATAGTTTGAAGCATTTCGTGTGTTTTTTTTTTTCTCCACACCATATATTTGTTGTGTTGTCAAAAACGGATCATTTTCGCACATTTGTGATAGCGATAAGTCATCAGATCTAGAACACTCACCACTAAACAGATGTTTTCAGGTGAAAATGCATGCAGTCGATGTATTCCTTTGGAGCTTTGCTTTTAATGTATTTATCAAATATTCCCCTTTTCTTTTGTTTGTATATGTTTCAGTACATTTTTTGGCAAATTTGTATAAACAACTTACAACTTACACGCTACTTCAACAACTTACAAGTGGTTGGTCAGGTAGCTGCAACCAAGTAGTTGTTGCACATCCAGAAAAAGAACCAAAAATCTTTTGCAGCAGATTCATGTGACGTCGCAGTGCATAACATCAGGATATTGTTTTACAAGATCAACTGATATGTTTGGTAAACAAGGGGGAAAAATGTTGGTTATTCTAAAAATGTCCTCTAAAAAGCCTTGACAAGATTTACAGATCGGTTTATCTTTTCTGTCACAAACACATGTGATGCTGCCTCACATGCGAATGATATTACAGTATGGTCATGCTTTTTCTGATAGATAAGGGAAGAATCCACATAACCAAATGTTTTTGCGCACACACACAGACATACACATCACTGTACTTTCTTTTGTTCGTCTTATATAAGTTGTGTAACAGTGAAGGATCTGAATCATTCTGCATCAGCAAAATTACAGTACTCGGTTAGTTTTGACTTCCCTTACAGGTTGGTAATTTTCAATTCCTAATTTGGAAACTCTAACATGACCAAGCTGTATTTTGTTGCATCTTTATGAGGTATTATTGTCAGAAAAACATGCCCTGTGGGGGGGGGAAGCATATAAATCTTTACTGTTTTAAAACGCCAATGACAATATAATAGTATTCCTGGTGCTAAACCTGGTTGTTACACTTTACAAGGTGACAATAAGCATGTTATTACAACATCGGTTTTGGACTCTGTAATGCCTGATTTTGTTAAAGAGTTCTCTGACAGACATGAGCGTGTGAATGGGCTCGTTGATTGGATCCAGTGTCTCTGTTTCTCTCTGCTTTTGATATCAACTACTAAAAAATTTACTTACATGCAAAATTAATCCAAAGCAAGCAAACCAAACTACAGAAAGCAAGACTGTCACCTAGTAGGTATTATAACTTGCAAAACTACTGTAATGCCTGGCATACCTTCCTGATCACCTCTACAAGAGGACTTAATTTGACAAACCTTTAGCTGCAAAAAAGTGTGCCACACCTAAGCTACTGCCAAGACCTCTAAAGACCTAAGCATGAAAACACCTGTTTGTGAACCACAGTAGGGCTTTGATGAGGTTATCTTAACAATTATGCAAATATGAGAAAGGTGTGATTGTTATATAATAAATATAATTTTAAAAAATCCTGGTAAAAATGAATAAGCAAACCAAGTTAACCAAATACTGAAAATTGAGCTGTATATTAACATGAATGGTTTTGAAGTAGTTTGAGTTGATAATTAACATATTCATAACTGCTGCTATGTGTGTCTTTAGGTCACCTGGACTTTGAGGGGCTCTTCCTGGTTAATGGCAATGCAGAGCGAGTGGATTGGTTGCGTCAGCGCTATGACAGTGGTGAGGAGGTGAAGCTAGAGAAGGAGGCCGATCTGGCGTCAGCCGTCAGTTTGCTCCGACTGTTCTTGCAGGAGCTTCCTGAGCCCGTTATCCCAACGGCTATACAGGGACGTATACTACAGCTCTATCAAGGTGTGTGACCGTGGTTGTGTTTCCTCTTCTCATGCTATTTTACGAATTTCTTCTACACTCAACCACAGTCTGTTTTTATCCAGTACAATGCAGTTAACCTCCTTTTTCACCCTGTCCTCCTAAAGTCCGGTTGGAGCTTTGAGTTTGTTCTGCTCAGTCCGTAAATGTACTTCCTATGAAAAGAGTGTTGACCATAGCTGTTATAAAAACAAGCGCACACTCTTCTGCATCATTTCTGGGTCTTCATCCAAGTTGATTTTGTTTTAAGCTGTTAAGGCTGTGCCCATGTAGGCTGATGCTGGTTATATAAGCTGTGAGTACACAGTACGGTGGTCTGCATGTAAGGAAAACTGGCTGAAACAAACTCTTTCATAACGAGAACCTGAATTATCTCTATGTTTGCATATCTGCTACGCTGATGCACAGCCTTTATCTTTTCCTTTCTTCATTCTTTCTGCCTCTGCTTGTCCACACTCTTCTCAAATTCTAAGGTTGTGTTAACAATGTCCCAGAGAGAACTGCTGTCTTTCAGTGGTTATTAATTCTTCATTTTTGAGGGATTTTTGTGCATTTGGGTAAAAAATGATTGAAAGGCATGGGTTTCATTTCCCTTTTTTGTTTCAGCTCTTTGGCCTGTCCTCTTTCCCCTCTGTTTTTATCACAGATAATCTGCTCTAATCCCCTTGTCACAATGATGGTTGTTCCGGTTGCTGTCATCCAGATTATAGTAGAAGACTGGCTGTGTGTTTGTCGAGACTCCTTGTCATGCCATTTATTTCTCAGTGTATTATATTCTGTAATGGCACCACTGCACTTGAAAAAGAATTGCCTTTTTTGCACATTTTCCTCTCTGTCGCCCTCCGTCTCACCTAGTTTCACCTCTCCCAGAGGTGAAACTGAGCATAATGTTATCTGTGTGTGCAGTTTCTCTTGATTAGATTTTTTAAGGCTATCTGTGAAGGACCAAGAAGGACCCGATAACCCATAATTCACCCCACATTATCATTAGTTTTGAGAAAAAGCTCTAAAAGCAACACAGACTACAACAGAAGTTCTAATAGTGATTCTGAAATAAGAGCTTACACCCTTTTCAACTAAAAATAAAATAATTACATAAGAGATCCTGTCTGTGGGGTCGAGCTCTCGCCAGCTGTGCTTCATAGCAAGCACGACCTGCTGGTTCTCCCGGGAGCTGGTTTGCACAGTCCATCAAAAACCTAACGTTGTTTGATGATTTTAAATTGGCCATAGGTGTAAATACTCTTAGCCTTGTGATGACCTGTTGAGCTGTCCAGGGTGTCCCCTGCCTCTCGCCTAATGAGAGCTCCAGCCCCGGTGACAGTGAAGTGTAAGTGGTTAAGCAAAGAAATGAATGTATATTGGCTTAAGTAATGATATCCGGTTTTTCGCCTTCACATTGCTAGATTACGACAACGAAGAAGAGGTGTGTAGAAATTTGAAGTATCTGCTTCAGGACCTTCCCCAGTTGAACTACGGTCTGTTGCGTTTCCTGTGCCGCTTCCTGGCTAGCGTGGCGTCACTTCAGCAAAAGAGCTGGAACGTCGGAGCGCTGGCCGCCGTCTTTGGACCCGACATCTTCCAGTAAGATTCTTCTGCAGTTATTTAAGAATTTCGAATCGTAATTTTGATCATTGTACACAGCTACCGTCTCCATCTTACAGATGTTTACTTTTAACTTAATGAGGATGGTGTGGATATGCCACTAGTATATATTCAGTACTACATTACTTGTTTTAGAACTCCTGCTGCTTGTAGGGATGCACCAATACCACTTTTTTGGAAACGAGTATGAGTACGAGTACTTGCATTTCAGTACTCGCCGATACCGAGTACTTAATAAAAACATGATTTAAATTTGCAGGTAACAGCTTTAGTCCTATAATTTAACAAAAAACAAACAAACAAGGGACTAGTTTGGAATTAAGAACATTTATTTAAAATGAAAAGCATGTTGTATGCAACATATTACAGAATAAATAATTATAAAAAAACAAAATTTAATTTTAAATTTGTTCGTCTGTTTCTCTGTTTAGAAGTCTCACTAGCACAGTCACAGCTGGGATGACATCAGAGGCTAGTGCGTCGTAGCTGCTCACTTTTTTAGTTAGTTCCTCAAAGGGGGCGAGGATGGCAACAGTCGTCTCCATATGAGCCCATTGGTGAGCGGTGAGATAGTCAGGGAGTTCGTGCTCGGACACGCCCAGCACTCACTTTTGCTAAATGATGGACTGGAGCATGTAATACGTGCTGTTCCAGCGCGTCTGTACGTCCTGCTGCAGTCTCTTTATTGGTTGGTTGAGCTGTCCCTGAATGTCCTCGAGGCGGGAGTAGGCTAAGGCGGAATGTTTAAAATGCCCAACTATTTTCCGTCCCACTGCTATAGCATCAGCTATGCTCCTCTGTGCTAATAAGCGTAGGTAAACTCTTTGTGCTCGTTGTCGTGTTGGGATTTTAGGTGCTTGATTAAATTACTTGTGTTAAATGCGCTACCTTTAGAGCCTCCTCTGGACAATTTCGCTGAGCACAATTTGCAGTCCGCCTTTGTTTTCGCGTCTTCGTTCACTTTGAAATAGTTCCACACAGCTGACATGTCTCGCCTCGCTTTCTCCCCGCTCTGAGCTGCAGCCGGGGCCTGGGGGCGGGCACTCGGCGCCTGTGATTAGACAGGTCTCAGACCGTGGTATCGGTCCTCGGTATCGGGGGACTTTTAACAAGTAGGAGTACTTTAGAAAATGTGGTATCGAGGCCGATACCGGTATCGGTGTATCCCTAGCTGCTTGTATTCAAAAGCTTCATTGTTACATCTTCAGTGGAAATGATTAATCAAGTGCAAATTATCAGATTATAAAGCTGTAAAGTCCGTGGAAGGAAACTCTTGAAGCCATATACCACATCACATTTAATGAAGCCACAGAATAGAGTGACAGCTGAATATCTATTTTTTTTAAAAGAGTGAAAGAAGTTTTTATTTTTAGCACTTGCAGGAACACGCTTACACAGAAGTTAAAAAAAGAGGGGTGTTTATTCTCATGGGAGTATTATTAATCTCATGGGAAGCAGTGTGCAGCCAACTCAAACTTTTCTGTCATTTTCCATCTGCAGTCTGTCAACAGAAGGAGAGGACCTTCGGGACCAGGAGTCTGTCAGCAGAGTCCTGGCAGAGCTGCTGGACAATCAGGAGGGCCTGTTTGACTCAGAGGACGATGATGTCTCCACCACCAATGACTACAGCTCCATCAATGAACAGGTTCGACCCATCTCTCTTACACCACGCCTCTCAGTATTGTTGTTTCTGCCTTGCATACTGTCGGTGTCCAATAATATGACAATAATTAGCATAGCAAACTTTCTACACTTGATTTTGCAAATGCTTTTGAATTTATTAATGGCTGTGAATGGTGAAGATATTGTAAATATAGTTTGTGCTGTCGTGGCAAAACATTTTATCACAGTCCACAGAGAGGTCGTCAATTTTCAAGCTTACTCGTTAATGCAGTTTTTGGTGTTTCCAGCCCACACATGTCTTCCCTCCTGCTGTAACAGATTATTTTCCCCCTGGGATCAATAAAGTCTTCTTCATCTATTTTTTGTTCACCCCGGTCATTCTCCCATAGAGGTCTTTGTAGCTTTTCTTTTATCCTCAAACAAACAGTCTCTAAATCTAGAGAGTGATGGTAAATGCCTTTTTAACCTGATATAATAATTAGAAATCTGCAAACAAAAACAAAGTACAAAACAATCAAATGGAAAAACAAGACAAATTTAAAATTTCTTGCCAAGTTATTTGCAGAAAATAAAACTTTTGTAAAAAAGTAAATTTATTGGCATCAATCGTTACATATGAACAAAAGCGTGCTTTCACAAAAGCTGTTAGATTCCTCTTTGTCTTCCTCCTCTTTGTGTTTTCTTCGTCCTCTCTGGTGGCATTTGGCTGTAAAATGTGGCATTTAACCATGCCAGGGTCAGAGGGGAAGTTTTTCAGCGCTGACGCACAGAGATAGCAGTCAAATCTTATGAAAAGCGAAAGATGAAATTTATAAATGTCACCCAACAGCATAAAAGAATTCAAAAAGGCTTGAAGTGATTGTTCCATCTAACAAACATGTTCTGTCTTGCGCTGGGGTCTTTTTTTTTTTTTTTATAAATAATTAAATTTTGTTGTTGGCATCAGCAGCAGTAAGTTAGATGTAATAAATGATCAACCTCAAAGGTTAACGTGAGAATAACAATTCTGCTTTATTTTGACTCCAGTGACGATGTTGTTATTAGAAATCTAGAAGACATCACATTAACTGATTCAAACCTGTTATGTACAAAAACTACAGTGTCTCTAACTGGAGTTATTAATTAGCTAGAAGATCAGGCTGAAGTTTTTCTGTAAGGAAATGTAACTGGTACCAGCTGTACCCACTTCCTCTTGGTAATGTGGAAATGTAAGCAGTGGCGTTTAAGGAAAACAATACAGCATTTTTCTGTAAACAAAATTTTTCTCCGAATGATCTTGGTGTTCCCGCCCAAGGACAACGGCACACCCCTGCATACTTTACACAGAGCATTACAAGAATGTAGTTTTATAGAAACACCTGAGCCTAAACCAAACATTTTCCTCCGCTTTCTAACAGCTCGTTCTCTTTGCTGTCGTGCACAGTACAAAGAAAGGCGTAGTTAACTTTTAACTTTACAGTGCCCTTGTGCTTTTGTGCGATAACAAAAATACAACAATAAAGAGGCAACCCTTGATCAGTATCTCAAATGCTGTGCTACTTTAATTTAAGAGTACGTTGTTTGCCACAGCAGGGACTCTTTAAAGATAGCCTAAAAATGTTGAAGTGAAAGGGCAGCCTGTCATTGTGAAAGTATGACCACAAAAAGAAAAAGAGAAACTTTGCTATATATCTACATTGTGTCACCTATTCAAAACCTTTCAGCTGCTTGCTTTGTTTGCTCCCCTCTCCCTATCTTTTATTCTTCGCTTCACACAGTTAGTGTGCTCTTAACCGAACTACTGCAGATTTTGCTTCCACTTGCCTCGTAATATTGAGTCCTTGGAGTTATTATCTGCCAAATCCTTCCTTTTATTCAAGGAAAAGTTTAAAGCCTTTGCCTTGCGAAAGACAACTAATTAGATTGTAATTGCGCTCTAAACAACAACAACAAAGCACAAGTTCTTTCAAGCAACGTCATATCATTCCCTCTGTTAGCTGTTGACCTCGGTTTTATTGTCTGATTTGTCAGATGAATGACACTATAGTCTAAGAGAGGAGGTGAGAGCAGATGAAGAATGAGAAGACAGAAGCAAATCTGTAAAGACATGTCTGTGCACTGATCCATGTGTCTTATGTAATAGAGAGGGCAAAAAAGTGGGTGGTTTGAAGAAGGAGGGGGAGAGAAAGCAGCCAGGAAGATAGGGGAGAAATGACAAGAGTGCAGAGACAAAAGAGGAATAACTGAAGGGAAGGAGAGAGGGAGGGAGGTAGAGGTGGTGAGACAGGGGAGGAGGATGATGTAACCATGTAACTCACACCTCCAGTCCCTGCTCTACACCGGGGATGACTCTCATGAAGGGGATTATCTCCCACACACACCTGCTTTCACACAGGAGACCTTGAATCAAGCCTGGTTACAAACTAAAGAGTAAGTTGAAAATGCTTGGTCGAGCCTAGCTAGCACACATAAAAGGAGCCAATTCATCCTAAGAAATGGAGAGACATTGTAAAAGCAGCGTAACAGAGAAGTACATGAACGATAATGAGCGGAGAAAGGTGGAAGGCAGGTGTTGTTTTTATGGTGTGTTTGTGCTCACCTTTGGAGCACAACAAGGCGGGAATAGGTCTGACAAAGATGAATATAAAGGTGGATTTTAGCTTGTTTATCGCACAATCGGAGTCAGTTGAATTTCTGCTTGGGTGACAACAAGAGTACGCTGATGCTTGTTGCTGTTGCGAGGATAATAAAAGGTTTGTTTTTTAGTTCACACTTCTTCGTTTCAGGGTTTCTGCTTGGAATATGAAAGAAAAATATTCTGGATTCTCTACTGAGATGGCTTGTGACATTTTTGGTGCAGCTTAGCTTGGCTTGGCTGGACTGTCTGATAGTGTGTTTTGATTCCTTAGCCCACATTTTTCTTTGGATACACACCAGCTTGAAAATATATTATTGCTCTAATCAACCACAATCCTGTGGCACTAAAATGCTGCTCTGTTGTGACTCATAGCTTTTAGACAGACAGCGACACTGCAGTACCAATATTACAAACATAAAAAGTGTGCACACTGTCCCATCGGAATAATAATATCTGTGATCCACAGTGCCTTGCGTACTGGGGCCACAGTTGATATTTCTGCAGATTAAATGAGGCTTGTAGGCTCGAAGTTAATTTGACTACTGAACCTCAGACCTTTTCCTCTTGAGCTCTTTTCTTGTTACATAATTGTTCTGTTTCATGTCTCAATAAGACCTCAGATCCCTTTGTACATCCCCTGTGCCCGAAGTGGACATAAGTTAAGGCTTCAGCAACAGATGTTTTATAATGCATTTGTTAGACAGCTTGTGAGAAGACTTAGTATGTGGGTAGTTGTTTCTGTTATTACTTTTCTGCTCCCTGCTGCGTTGCTGTATGACCCTTTAATTGCACCAGGTGTCATTTCTGTTTAATGCAGAGCTGCAACGATTCATGGAGTAATTCATAGAATTCTCTTACAAAAAATTCTCGATACAAATTCCTTTCTTTGACTGCTTTTGTGCCGTTGTCACCGTAGGAACGTGAGCGCTTTGCGACTTAAAGCAGACCTGCAGTACCAACAGATTTAGGAGCAGAATAAAAAGTTTAACAACATTAAGCCCACACAGTTTTAAACAAAAACCCTGATGACACAACAGCAGCAGCAGTGATGATGATGCTGGCACAGTTTAACGTGTAGTGCGGACTCTGTTTACACACCGCGAAAAGAAAAGAGGAGGAGCCATTACCGAGACTTGCATCCAAAACAGCAGCGCTGTTCCTGTGATCACCATTTAAACCTTTACTGGAAAAATGCTGGCAGAGTCCACAAACGCTGACATGAGGAAAATTGAACTCTGAAGCTGCAAAAAAATCTTCACTAACGTATATTAAAATGTGCAGATGAACTGTTGACTATCAAAATCGTCACTACTATATGTCACTACTCGATCCGTACCGGAAACCCGATCGGTACCCCGCATGCGCGAAAAGTTTCTACTTTCGGCCGTAGCATTTTACGATAGTCATGGGTCAGAGTATCTGTTAAGATGTTAAGAATAATAAGTATATCTTAAAATGTTTGCAATAATGAAGCATTTCAGTACAATGTAGACAAAAACGAAAAATAAAAAGATAGTTACGGATCGAGACTCCCCGATCCTTACTGCGCATGTGCAAAGTCGGACCGTACAAATCGGGTCTACCCGATCCGCACCGCGCATGTGCAGATGTTTTCTTCTTCTTCTGTTCGTTTAATGGCAGTTTACTCCCCAGTGTACGAGGATACTGCCACCTGCTGACCGAGCGAATGAACCCTATTGTAAACTGAATTAGCGTCATTACAAACGTGTGTTAAATTTGATTTAGTGATAGTCGAGTGTGTTTATGCTTGTCTGTGTGGAGAGGATTGACTGGAATAGTGAAGAACATGATGATGTCCGCTATCACTGTCAGTTGTCAGTAAACATCCGGCTGATGAATCTTCACGTGACACATTGCTAAGTCAATATTATTAAGTCTGTAATTAGGCGCCATTCTTCATATTTTACGGAGCTGTTGTTCAATCGGGGGACTCTCTCTGTGGAGGAGAAAAGCATGAATTTGTTTGTATACGGAGGTGTCCATTGTTTAAATGTCCCGGGCAGTCGAAAAGGAGGCAGAACTGTTGAGAAATGCTAGGAGCTAACTGGGCGCTAACCGTATCATTCAAATATATTGAATGTCGCAATCCGGTTGTTCAGTCTGACGTCACTAGTTGTGTCTGGACCTAAACTCCGCTGCAGGTCCATATATCAAACGATCACTATGGCATTACTGAGAGTTGAAAAACTGTCTAAAGTCTTCCATCTTTAATAAAATGATCAGCGTTCTGCTCTACCAGGTGTAATGAAGACAGAAAACTAAACAGCAGTGACGTTTGTAAGGTTACTGAAGTTTGGCTAGCTGGTATATAATGATGTGCTACGTGACCGCTAGCGACACAGCTATGTTAGCATAATATAAACAAGCTAACTGTTTTTCCACTC